GTATTTCCAGTTTCCATACACAATTTTATTTGGTTGATGTTTCTACAAACTTGAGCATACTCCAGATCCTTTGGAAAACCTGACCCAAATATGATAACTGTGTTTTTCATGTCAACCATTTGTTGATTCTGAATAATACTGAGTGCAGCATTGTTTTTTGTCAAAAGCAGAAGATACCTGGATTCTTCTTTCATCAGATCACAGCTCAAAGCACACTGAATAAGTCTTCTTGAGTCACAAGGAGCTTCTGCTCCATCACAAGAATTTGATGGATCTATGTATAGAGCTTTCAGAAACATCATTACTGGATCATTCTTTTCTAAATGCCCTCCAAAATTTCTTCTGATAGAATGCTCTATTTCTTCTGGTAATGGTGTTCCATTTCTCTTTTTTGCAAATCCAACAACCATCTTAATAAGTGAATAATAATCCCTGAGACCAAAAAATTCTTGTTCTTGTTTTTTGTATATTTCAAGATATGCTACAGCAATGTCTTTTATAATCCCCCGAATACTAGAAAACACATTCTTATTACTTTTACAAATTCCTGCAGCACTTTCAATAAGATCTTCTTTTGTTGAATTACCTCTTGACACAAATATTCCCCGATTCATTTTAGCAGGATCTAATGCCCAATTAGATATCCCAATAAATCCAACTTTTTTCTCTGGTGTTGGTTCTTCATTACCTAAACAACCGTCTTCCAAAAGAGGATGAAGTGCTTTCAATGGAAAAACAGAAGAATCTTCAGCAAGTCCAATTTCATCAAGGACTACCACTGACACAAATTTATTGAGATCTTTCTCTTTTTGAAATCTTTGACACTGGTGAAAAACACTAATAATCCCTTCTGCTGTTGCCAGTGGACTACACTGAAATGACACCATATGAACATGTTTCAACTGACGAAACAGTTGAGATTTTGAGTTTTCTCCTTGCATGGCATCAGCAACAATTGATTTTGCAAGAGACTTTGAGGTACCTGGTTTTCCAACAAGAAAAAGTGGTATGCGTAGCTCAATGCATATAATCATCATGAATACATTTTCTTTTAAAGCTAGATTCTTAGCTATATTTGATCCTAATTCTAACTGATCAAGAAAGACTGTTTGACAAGCTTCAATTTCAGTTATTAAATTCTTCTCTAATAGTTGTTGCTCTCTCAGTGTGCTCTCTCTTTCCAAACACTCATCAATGTAATTAACATATTCTTTTCTTTTTTCAAGACGAGCATAATAACAAACACCAAGAGACTAAAAGGAAACACCGCAAGTACACGTCTAGTTTCTTACTATTTATAATTATTTCTTCTTCACCATCCTCCAATATTCCATCCATGAGTGGGAATAACACTTCATGAAGATTGTAAAACCATTCATAGACAGTCAAAGTACGCTCAATATCCCTTAAGCTCACAAAACTACATTCATCTTTCCTCCCTCTCATGTAAGACTGAGATGCAGCTAACACATTTACAATGATAGGGACAAATTCAGTTGACACTATACCTATTTTTTGATACCTTATCACCATCTGATTGATGCATAGTTTTTCTTCTTGGCCATTTATATTACCAAAGTCCCAAACTAAACAAATCATAGATGATGGGAGAGGTTGAACCCGATACACCAACTGTCGAAGTGGGATGGATCCAAATAGTTCCTTTGTTTCTTCTACATGCATATGGTAGCCAAGGCCTGAAGCTTCAAGTTTTTTTATAACTTCTTCATTATGTTTTCTATATGGATTGCAAGCAACAACAAAATTGAGTCCACATTTTGCTGAGATAGGTTTTCCACAAAGAGTATGATCACATATCACTTCCTT